TTAACATTAAAAACCTGTTATATGTATAGGAACGCATTAAAAATTTTCTTAACTGACAGATGATTAAGGCTCTACCCCCACCGCCACGGTACATTCCCGAGCAGGCGAAAACAGCAGCACAAACAGAGCCACCAAAGGCGTCGCCCAGAAATCCCTGCATGAAACCGCCAAAATACACTACAATTGAACCAATCCAGGCCCGACAAGTCGCCGTCACAGCCAACACGACCAACGAACGTCCCCATCCAGTTGAAAATGGAAGAGAATCGTTGCGTAATAGCCTCCGTCTACTGCTCAAAGACGTTCCAACTTGAGGAGAGAACCCGCCAAGTACGGCTCCTACTATCACACCGCCTACTCCTCTCTCGCCACATCACAAACTCCACACAGACTTTTTAAAGCACAAACAAGAGGCTGAGTATGTTCACAGAACAAAGTCCCAAACTTAATTTGACTTTTTGTTTATAGGGGGTACCAGGGGGAAAATCATAGGAAATTAGGTGTAGGCTGCTCTGGCGTCCAGTTCGAAGGGGGTGCGGGAGGATGGCGGGGAAGGAGGCAGTAGCGTGAGGGTCAATGAGAGGAGGGGGGCGCAAATCGCCACACTGTGCAAATTAGAAAACAAAATGAGGAAGGCGGGGGGGAGGAGATAAAATAGGATGCAGGACATCAACCTCCCTGCAACTGACCGTTGGTATCACAACATACACACACATATACAGACTCTGGGGTCTATTTGGTTGCGAAGGGGTCATGGGTTCTGGCCAGCCTAGCCCAAAACCAAGCTGCGGAAAAGGAGACGACAGGCCACGGCTGTACTTGAGGGAGGCGCGTCAGCCACAGAGAACCGGTCGTCGCGGGCTGCCGCGTATTCTGCGAAGAGGGTCTTGTAGGCGAAGTCGAACTCGTCTGAAACAGCAAAGGACGGTATGACACCTAGTGAAATCCTTAGGGTAGAGTGAATTACTACGAGGCCTTCATTTTTAATGCAATGAGGGATGGATTCATGCGTTAAAAAGTACCCATTGTAGTCCATGCACAGCCATGAATACGGATGAAGAGAAGGAAGAGTTCTCGGTAAAGCGAAGAGTGACGGCTCCAGGAGGTTATTTGCGCATTGGAGGACGCGGCCGACCCGCGGAGGTCATTAAGGGAATCCCTTCGCTCGTCAGCTCTGCGATCGCGAACAGACAAAAGGGCTGAAATGGCGCCTTCAAGGTTCTTGAAGGTGAGTGCATCGCTGGTCAGACGAACGATTTCACCAAAACAACACTCCGTCTCACTAGGCCCGTCAGTACCATCGTTCAGCAGCTGGTTTGGCTCACCTACAAAGCGATAAATACATTGGGATGTTTTTGTTATTTCTCCTGTGTTATTTCGAGACCTCGGCAGGACTACAAAGTGTTGTCAAGTGTCGAGGACGAATACGCTTGAAACAGCACCCCTAGTTTAAATGCTGCTGAAACAGTAGTAAAAATAATGTAAATAATGCTGGGGAACGCACCCTGCCCGGTCTGTTTCACCCATAACCTGTAAAGAGGCTGCGCCGGGGTGCCCTTCCTCGGAAAAATGTCCCATTTGGCAACCATCCACACGGGTAAGTCTGGTGATAGTACCACATCCTAAAGCATAGAATAAAATACTCTGTCTACTCTCAAAATAAAAGTAGGCACTGCATTAAAGTTAAACTCAGCAGGGGCTTACGGCCAAGGCCCTGGCTATGACGAGGGAGCCCAGGTGTCTGCGACCATCGGCAGTTCGACGAAACTCCGCTTGGCAGTCCATTAGCCAGGCTGGGTAACGATCTAGAAGATGAGTGGGCAGGCCGAGACGATGAAAGAGGTAGACCAGGTTCCAAAGCAGGGTATCGTGCCGACCAAGAAGATTGGGCGAAGACCAGGTTTCAGTTCCCATGAAGTCGGTCATTGAGGGAAAGAGCTCCAGATCCTTGCGCAGGACCGAGGGATTCACGAAGGGCACCTGAAGACCAGAAAGTAGACGGCAGAGTGGGCAGTGAGGAGTGCACTAAAGCGAGAGGGAAGAGAACAGGCCAAACAGAGGAGTCTTACCGTGTACTCAACAAGGCCGTGAGAGAAGGGTGCCTTTCGCGATCGTACAGACGCGGGAGAAGACCTACATGAGGAGGAAAAGGTATTCTGAACTCTGGAATGGCTGCATAGAAGCTGAAACTATCAAGCAACGACAGCACAGACATGGCCGGATGTTTGGGCAACAACGGCTGGCGTGCAGTGTGGTGATGAGGATGGGACTGAGAGAGATAACTCAGAGGCAGGTAAAATTGAAAAACTCTGTGAGGCCAGTTTGTGGACGGATAATACTAGAAGAACACAAATCTGCTGATTCAGAGGGCGATCACCTTATGACAGGGGATGAGAATGCGCCCACGCGTGGTAAAAACGGAAATCGGCAACGATCATTCCATAATACTGCATGTCTTGAACTGGGGAAGAAATTATTAGTCACACGGGAGCAATGTGTCCCTATCAATCCTGCCTAAAACAGAAGAGCGAGTGGTTCCGTTTTGTTGCGAAGCTCAGAGTTTACAGCCCACGCAGGCGTTCGCAGGGCGACTATCGACCCATAATCCGTCCTGCGTCACTCCCATGTGACGGATTCCAGCGGACAATGCGAGTCTGTGGTGCAGGGGTGGGCGCCTTGCTGGGTGATCAGCTGACTGATTTAAACCTCGGGTACGGAAACAGTTGGCTTTGGGATATCTTCATCTAACGGTGGTTAAAAAGTTGAAAATGGCAAGTTCGGCCATTCCATCCTTGGCAGGAAGACGTCGTAAATCCGGTCAGTGACTAATCTCGCGAAATAGTAATCGAGACTCCGAGATGCGTTTTCGGCTAGGCAGGTTTGCTTAAGTGGGGTCGTGACACTGATTGCCGTGCGACATAATCTCAAAATATTTCAGTCATACCCGAATGTCGGCTTTTGGGTGCTCCTCTCCTCAGGCGCCTGCAAAAACCGCACCCGGTAGAAGATGACTACTTAGGTGCATGATATTTCTCAATGGATTTTCAATGCACGTATAAATGCAAATACTAATAGATGTTTTGGCCGATTTTGAATAATTCATATTGACCCAAACGGTGGAAAACTCAGTGGTGTTATTTGAGTGAACATTTCATAGTCTTAAGGAATTTCTTAACTGCAAGCTTTTTTAAGACCGTGACACCTTTTCTTCGAGTAGAAAGTTTGAACATATAGTTTGCTGCAAAATGAACACAAGAATGAGTATTTTTGTGCATTTCATATCGCCCCAACTGTGAAAAGCTCGGCGCTTCGGTGAGATTCGAATCTAAGACATTAAGGGAAGGCTTAAGTACATCTAACCACCTGAGCTAAGAGGCCCGGCCGAACGACGCGAGTTTAATCACACTTGGGTCAAGTTACCCGCCCAACCTACTGCAACGTCTGGAATCCACCAAATCTGACAAAGTAAGTCGACGTGGGTCTGGTAGTCATCTGGTGGATTCTAGGTAAAATACTAGGGAAATCCTGTTTATGCAGTCAACTTACTGTATCCGATTTGGTGGATCCTAGACGTTGCAGTAGGTTGGGCGGGTAACTTGACCCAAATGTAATTAAACACGCGTCGTCCGGCGGAGCCTCGTAGCTCAAGTGGTTAGAGCGTTGGCCGTACTGAAGCCTTCCCCTTACTGCGTGGGTTGGAATCCCACCGAGCAGCCTCGGAGTTTTTTACAGTTGGGTCAATATGAAATGTTTTACAGAAATCATGCACAAAAATACTCATTCTTGTGTTCATTTTGCAGCAAACCATATCTCCAAAATTTCTACTCGAAGAAAAGGTGTCACTCGGTCTTAAAAAAGCGTGCATTTACAAAATTCTTCAAGACCGTGAAGTGTTCGCTCAAATAAAACCGTCTCTGTGCGCTTATTAACGCTCAACACAATCCATAACCATTGTAAAATTATGTGACCCCTCATATGGCACCTTACGTGCAAATTGGAACATATGATTTCCCGTAAATGTAAATTATACAGTTTATAGTTGCAAACCTAAACGCCAATGCAACGGCAGACCTGACACAAAACAATTCGAAAATTGAAAAAAAGTTTTTTAAAAACCGAACGTTATCATTTATTAGAATAAACAAATTAAAGACGACGTGATCTGCTACAAAATGAGTACAACAGAGGATACCTTTGGCCATGTTTTCTATAAAATATATTTGAATTAGTGAAGGTATCGAAAGTCCATAGAAAAAAATTCATTGTACCTAAGTACTCATTTTTTACGGAGTGGGGTTTTTGCAAGCGACTGAGAAAAGGTGCATCCAAAGGCCGACATCCTGAGATTATGCCGCAGGACAATCAATACCACAAGCCCACTTAAGTATAATATCCCAGTCTAAATGCATTTCGGAAGTTTGGTTAACATTTAATGAAATAGGCCACTGACTGTGGTTAACCGTTCATCGTTTGTCAACTGACATATCGCGTTTTGCCCTGTTTACTCTCAAAATGAGCCAAATTTCAGAGTCATCTGTTGGTGTTCGAAGTGCCAAAAATGGATTACGAATAGGCCGCAGATGAGGAGTGTCAATCAACCGATAAGCAATCACATGGAAAGATGAAAAATCGTGAAACTCGAACGTACCCAACAGAGGGATCGGTTTTGTCGACAGCCGCCGCCGGCTCCTGAGATCCGCCACTTCCGGAATCGTCGCAGATGGCGACTGTGCGGATAGTCAGTTTGGGTGTGAAGAGGTGGCGGCAGAAGGGGCAGTGGACGTTCACCTCATCCTCACAGGTCATCCACTCGGAGAG